CACACACACACACACACACGCATACACATACACACACTTGTAATTAGAAGCAACATAATCTGTGCATGTGTGAGTACGTGTGTTTTGTTTTTTGCTGTATATGTTCAAGGCGCGTATGTGTGTATGTGTAATTGCGTGTAGTGTGTAGGTACGCGCGCGCACATATGTATATGTGTGTGTGTGTGCGTGTGCGTGCGTGTGTGCGTGTGTGTGTGTGTGTATGTGCATGTTTGTGTATGTGAGTGTGTGTACGTGAGTGTGTTTGTATATGTGTGTGAGTGTGTGTGTGCGTGTATGTGAGTGAGTGTGTGTATGTGTGTGAGTGCGTGTGTGTGTGTGTATGTGGTGTGCATGTATGTGTGTGCGTGTATGTGAGTGTGTGTGTGTATATGTGTGTGAGTGTGTGTGTGTATGTGTGTGAGTGTGCATGTGTGAGTGCGTGACGTCACCCATCTTCCTCCCCAGCGCCGACTACCAGAGCACGGTTTGTCGTGTGTGTGTTTGTGTGTGTGTATTTGTGTGTATGTGTATGTGTGTGTGTGTGTGTGTTTTTATTATGTGTGTGTGTGTGTGTGTGTTTTGAATTAGTGAGTGTGTCTGTGTGTGTGAGTTAGTGAGTGTGTGTGCGTGTATGTGTATTTGTGTGTATGTAAGTGTGTGTTTGTGTGTCTGTATGTGTATACCTCCCCAGAGCCGACTGGATGCTGGACTACCAAGGCATGGTGTGTCTGGCGGCGAGCCAGGTGTGGTGGACGTGGGAGGTGGAGGACGTGTTCCGGAAGATCAAGACAGGCAAGAAGACGGCGCTCAAGGACTACGCCAGGAAGATGCATATGCAGATAGACCAGCTGGTTGTCAAGGTAACGGAAAGACAACATCGTGTGCCAGGGTACGCCATGTTCTTAACCCTATCCGTACGTTGTGTTTTACTTGCGTATCCATACTACGTGGGGAAGTCTGTGCCACAACTTAACCCTATCCGTACGTCGTGTTTTACTTTCATATCCATATTACGTGGGGAACTCTGTGCCCCCACTTTCCAAAGAGGAAATTTACCCATTAATCCGATCTGTACGCTTTGCATGCATAGCAGTCTGTCAAAATGATTTTTTTAAGAAATACTGAAAGTTTCAAAGAGATTTTCGCACTAGAAGTACTCTAAAATGTGAAGAATACAAACCCTGAGGTACAAGAGGTACTCTAAAATGTGAAGAATACAACCCTTGAGGTACAAGAAGTACTCTAAAATGTGAAGAATACAAACCCTGAGGTACAAAAGGTACTCTAAAATGTGAAGAATACAACCCTTGAGGTACAGGAAGTACTCTAAAATGTGAAGAATACAAACCCTGAGGTACAAGAGGTACTCTAAAATGTGAAGAATACAACCCTTGAGGTACAAGAAGTACTCTAAAATGTGAAGAATACAAACCCTGAGGTACAAAAGGTACTCTAAAATGTGAAGAATACAACCCTTGAGGTACAGGAAGTACTCTAAAATGTGAAGAATACAAACCCTGAGGTACAAGAGGT